TTTTCTTAGTACAAACTGCGCTAACCAAGTAGGACACCTTTCTACCCCTCAAAAAATAAAAGTAGGACACCTTTCTGTTGTGTGTAGTTTACTTCTTTTTTCTTCTTCAAATATAGCGCTTAAAAACGCAGCGGTTTTCCTGTTAGTTAGTTTTACGGTTTTGCTAGGCCGATTTTTTTCGTTTTTTATTTTAATTTATTTTCAAAAATTCATGGACATTTTTGTAATTGTGAACATTTTCTTAATTTGTGGAGTTTTTTTATAATTCATGAAATTTTTCATAAATCTGTGAAATAATTTCAAATGCATGAATGCTTTTCAAATCCACAGGCTCATGTCAACTTATACAAACTTTTTGTCAAAACTCGGCGCTGGGGGCGGTTGGGTTCCCAGTCGCCGCCCCCAGGACGCCCCCAGGCGCCGATATCGGCCCATCTGTTTCGCAAAGCGCCCACTTTTCGGCCCATTTTCGGCGACAAATCGGTTTGATATCGGCGCAAATCGGCCATTGTTCGCCGTGATTGGGCGCAAATTCAACACAAGTAATTTTTTAATCACATAGTTCATTACCGAAAATCAATAAAAATCAAATAGTTCAACAACAAATAATTCAATACAAATTAAGTTCAACAAATAAGAACTCTTATTTCATCAAACGTCGAGCTAGGCAGCATTGCCCTTGAGCCTCCATAGGTGCTCCACCAGATCGTGTTGCAGTTGTTGATGCACCTGTGAGTCTCAGATGTCCTGACGCATATTGAGAAAGGCAGTCCAGGTTGCTGGTAGCTGGTGATCAACTTGCGCAAGAGGACCGTGCCTGCAATATGGTTCAGTGTCAAATATTGGCTCTTCCTGCTCGCTCTCAATGATCATGTTGTGTAAGATGACACAACAAGTCATGATCTCCCACATTTGATCTTTTGACCAGGTTTGAGCGGGGTACCAAACAACAGCAAATCGAGATCGGAGCACACCAAATGCCCGTTCGACATCCTTCCTGCAAGCCTCATGAACCTTCGCAAAGTGGGAGTTCTTGCCTCCTGGCACAGGGTTTGAGAGTCTTCACAAATGTAGACCATCTCGGATAGATGCCATCAGCTAGGTAGTACCCCTTGTTGTAGTGCCGCCCATTGACCTCAAAGTTCACCAGAGGAGAATCACCGGGAGCTCCGTATGCAAGCATCCTCAGAGCTGTCATGCACTTCTGGATTCAGGTGAATCCAAGTGCGCCGGTGCAATCCTTCTTGCACTTGAAGTAGCTGTCGAACTCCCGGATGTAATTCACAATCCTGAGGAAAAAGCTTTCGGCTCATCCGATAACGGCACCGAAATGTTTTCTCGTCGTGCAATGGAGCATCGGCGAAGTAGTCGGAGTAGAGCATGCAGTAGCCTTCCAGACGATGCCGGTTCTTTGCTTTCACCCGCCCCAACGCCGAGCCACCTCGCTGCGGCTTTTCATTGCTCGCGAGCAGGCCGGCGAGGGCGGCGAGGACCATGAGATGCTCCTCCTCCTGGACGTCGGCTTCGGCTTCCTCCTCCAGCAACGTCACGAGCGCCTTCTCGTCGTCCTAGGTCATCGCCTGGCCGGGCAAACAAATCATCGAACACCTGGCGGGCATGGTAGGTACATAGCCGCCGGTATGCCACCCTGCATGGCCGGGGCACCAGAAAACTCACCCGGAAGGTGGTGACGAGGTTGCCGCAGCGAAACCTTCTCTCCTTTCCGGCGGGGAATGGCCTATCTAGCTATGGCGAATCTGGACGATTTCCTTGACTTTTTGCCTAAAAGTGTGGCACATGCATGTTTTTCCCTTTCGGCGGAGCCCCTGAGCGCCCCCCAACGCGTTGGGTTCGGCCTGAGATCGTCGGGCTAAAAAACGGGCCGAGCCGGCAGATTTCGGCGTCTTGGGGATGCAACCGGGGCGATTTTTTTGGCACCCTCGCCCAAAAAGTTGCCCCGGGGGGCCGTTGGGGGTGCGGCTGGAGATGCTCTTAGTAGACTACCAAGGCCCAAACTTGCTTGCATTTTCAGGCCATGTGCCAAGGCCCGGCCGCCCAACTTTTTGCTCATAGCATACAACCTAACTTTAGTCCCACACCACCGAGCTAGACAAGAGGAAGCATAGAATTCAGCTACATAAAGAGATGGGTGATATAGGTTGTGTCAAAAAAATAGAGATGGGCTGATATGGGAAATAGCGAAGTGCACGGTAGGTGAATGGATCGTGCATCCGAGTATTTTTCTTTTTGAAATTTCTATTTTGTGCCCTTGATTTCTTAGTTCTACTCAGTTTTGCTCTGCCGCCTTAACGTTCCTCACTTTTCCCCTCTTCTCTCGACCCCGGACTTGCAAATGCCCAAACGAAGCATTTCGTTGGGCCAAAGCCCATTGACCGTTACTTGGAGGATATCCTGATGAGTGAGACCTCAAAAGTGCGCCATCGCGGTCGCATCCCAGCCCATGGGCTGAGCCAGTGCGACACGTGCGCGTATCTGCTTAAGAGCCTGAGTGGGAGTTTTATGTAATGGGTCGGCCTGCTCAACCTGCCTGAACAATGCCGAATACCTTTTTCCATTTCTAGTCAATTTTAGAAATTCATAAACATTCATTCCAAACCCAGTTAAGTTGATTCAAGTTCCTAAATTCATCATATCTGCGGGCCTATTTAATAGACAATCTCGTATTTATACATGAAGCTTTTCTTTGTATTTTTGATTTAAATCTATATTATATATAGGACTTCATTAGAAATTCCTAATCAATTCTCTGTTAGTCCAACTCCAGTACGAAAATGTCTATAATCCTCATCTGACCTCATTAATTCAATAAAATTTGCCTCATGATTTTTAGAGAATTGTATTTAAAAAACAACACTAAAAAATTAGCTTCCAAAAGAGGCAGTTTTAAAAAAATACAATAAAAATCATTTCTCAACTGCCAAAGAGGTTTTTTTGTGTGAAATGAGTGGCACAAATAAGATGCAAAAATGTACTTTTGCATTTTCATCATATTTCGGCTACTTGCTTTGTAGAAAACCTAGAAATAGTGATGGACTTGGCAATAAACTACATGACATTTGCAGTTTAAATTTGAATTACTTTATGTAAATCTCTAGGAGTAGTGAAGGATTTGGCACAAGTTCAAATTTGGCCATCTACTGAGTTGTCGGGTATCTAGCTTGTTCTTCTCGTTTCTCTTTTTTCCGTTTTCCAATATTTGTTGCAACATCTAAATTTAATCTCTAGTTCAAATGGACGCCATTTTTTCTCTGCTTCTTCTTTTTAAAATCTTCCAATGTAAACCTGGGAATAGTTTGGGCTGAAATCATTGTTTTCTGTTTGAATGCTTCGGTATTGATACGTCTCCAATGTATCTATAATTTTTGATTGTTCCATGCTATTTATTATCCATCTTGGATGTTTTATATGCATTATTATGCTATTTTATATTATTTTTTGGGACTAATCTTAACCTAGTGCCAAGTGCCAGTTGTTGTTTTCTTCCTTGTTTTTTCTTTACAGAAAATTAATACCAAACGGAATGAAACTTTTTGACTATTTTTCTTGAAGCA